TCGCTCGCGCTACTCTCTCTTCTTCTGGCATTTTTCCCCTCTTAACATCCTCCTCCTCCCCTATCTTTCTCTCTACTCCTTGGTGCATTCTCTAACCTTTTCCTCACTCTCTCATTTTTGGTACATGTTCTTCCCCTCCTCGTCACTCACTACTCCTCAGTATATTCTCTAACCCTCTCTCTCTCTCTCTCTTTCTCTCTCCTCTCTCTCTCTCCTCAAATAGCTCCCGTAACATTTTTGAGGAGAGCTATTTTTCCCACAGCCTTTTGAAAAAGAGCTCCCGTGAAAAAAAGTTATTAGTTCCCTGGGTGCGCTGCTGATGTGACGTTGCCAGGGGGTACCCGGTGGGTGAAATTGCCAGGTGAGTGGGGCTGCAGGAAGGCTGCCGAGTGGGGGTGGGGGTGGCGGTGGGGGTTGCCGGGGGCATGCGGAAGTCGAACCGGGTTTCCAATTGATTCGTCTGAGGGTTTTGATCTTATCGATTCACCCGAGTGAATTATTTCGATTTGATCAATTGTGATGATTTGATTGATTGATCCTACATTGGTGATTGATATAATCCGAGTGAGATCGCCATTTTTAATTGATCTGAGCGATTGTTCTCTGTGTTTAATCTTCGATTGATCTTATGATGGTTTCACTGACTGATCGGATTGGACTGATTGGTTTATCTCATAAAAATTTGATTGACAGACTCGTGTGATTAGCACGAGTGATTGATTCATGTGATTGATCTGATTGATTAATCGTGTGTTGACGTTATCTTTAATTCGCGCCTTCTGTTTTTATCTCGGTAATTGGAAAAGGTTTGCGTATGTTTTGTCCATTACTGGAATGGAGCAGTGCGTTGCTTGCTGCTGCTGCTTCATCAGTGCACGCGCGTCAGGGGGAGGTGGAATGGGGAGGGGCTGGGTGGCTTGATAGGTTTGTACCTCTCCTAGACAAAATGTTCTCCCCGCGATTCGTCTCCGGGTGTCAGCGATTTTTACTGCTGTTCTGCGGGATTTATTGCATTAAGGCGGATCGGTGGTGTTTAGCTCCTTCTTCCCCTCCTGTAACTCTTTTTAATTTTAAAACTCACTCAAACTAACTCTTTTTCCTTTCCAATTAACTCTAAGTTACTTTTTTTGATAAACTTCTTTCTCTCTACCCTGTGCTCCAACTCGCTCCTCTCTTCTCCCTTCTCTAACTCATTCTTCTCTTCCCTGTTTTCTAACTGCTTCTCTCTTCCCTCTCCTATAATTCCTTCTTTTCTTCCGTCTTTTATAACTTCTTCCTCTCTACCCTGTGCTCTAACTAATCCCTCTCCTCTATCTCCTTCTCCCCTTCTCTTTTCTCTAACTCATTCTTCTCTTCCCTGTTTTCTAACGTCTTCCTCTCTACTCTCTCTTCTATCTCCTTCCTCGCTTCTCTCTTCTCTAACTCATTCTTCTCTTCCCTCTTATCTAACTGCTCCCTTTCCTCCATCTCACCGTACTCCTTCATCTTTTCCCACTCCTATAACTCTTTCATACTCATCACGTGCTGTTCTTAATTACGCGAGATCTCGCGGGAGCAGCGTCGGAATGCGCGCGAAATCACAAGCGATATTTACGCGCCATGACACCTCGTCGTCTGCAGACGCGATGAGCTTCATCTCGTGGGGGCAGCAGCAGCAGCAGCAGCGTCAGATACCCAAGAGATATCGGCTTGCATATTCCAACCCCTCTCTCTGATTAGTGAGGGGCCACGGGGCCCGTGCGAGCGAGGGAGCTTGATTCATATTTCATTCGGGCGCACATTGTGCGGTCGGACGCACACGGAGGGAAAGAGAGAGAGAGAGAGAGAGAGAGAGAGAGAGAGAGAGAGAGAGAGAGAGAGAGAGAGAGAGAGAGAGAGAG